AACTGTATAAAGACCAAACTTTCTTCATCTGATACTATATTTATAGGCACTTGTTATGAGTGGGAAATATTTTTCGTGCAATATTTATTCTCCACACACCACCTCGCGAGATCAACGTGTAGCTGGACGCTTACACAGTGAGACCCTACGACATAAACGTTGCAATTTATCTTCATATTTCGTGTAGTTATGCATTTAAAAGCACTTACCTGTTTTTTGAAAAACTTGTCCAACGTACTATCATATAAATTCTGTATTTCTCTCATTTTTTAGAAACTTGGGACTCCGTTTCTGTTTCTGTCCTCAAAAATCAACAGACGAAGGCACAGATACTAACAAACGAGATTTAAACGAGAGTAATTAAGCGTAACAGAGATAGACATCCATTGTTCTCTGGGTTCTATTCATTCCGACCAATGAGAGACCGTAATACGGGCTCCGCCCCCACGCGTGTAATCTCCTTCTGTTATAACTCCTTGGTAAAACCGTACGTACTTCACCCTAGTACAAATTTAAAATGCTCTGTTGCATGCACTTGAAACTGAAGCATTTGAAGGCCTTCCTCTACTAGTATTTTGTCTGACAGGTTATGGATTTACTGCAGGCCTGTATGGTGTACATGTGTATCGACCGAATCTAGTCTATTATACCCCACAGTTTTAGACTTCGAACCGTCATCCCACCGAAAGGGATACTATTAATAGGAGATCCACACACATAAATATCCTTTTTTTAACCGATACCAAAGTCAGGTATCGGTAAAAAAGGTATGTGTGAGTGTGTGTGTGTGTGTGTGTGTACCTCCTGCTACTACCCTAAGATGTAAAAGTGACTTGACCTGATATTTTGGAGTTCTACATGTATAGCAAAGAACTAGGATTACTAACCAAAATTGATCAAAATTGTATCAAGGACTTGTGCACACCAGCAGTAGGATGAATAGCACGTACAGCTGGGTGGGTCATTGGGTCTAGCACTGACTGAATTCTGGGTTATAATATTTATGTTACAGTTAATGCATTTAGTCAGATCAGATTGCCTTTCTTTATAAGTCTGTATTAACACAAGTTTCATTGCCATTCCAGTATTTAGATCTAAAGTCCTGAAGACAATATACCCAAAAGAAGGAGGCACAGACCCAGTCCTGTCTGACAGTGATGAAGATATACATGTACCCACTCAAATACAAATTCTGCAACCCAAGAAGTCAAAGATGTACACAGTGACTCCTCCTCCAGAGGGTTTTGACTATGAAGAATCCACTCATTTGATCTCTCATGTGATGCAGCAAGATTCTGAGTCTTTAGATAATGCCAGTGGCAGTGAAGGTATTCAGTGAACTTAGATCTACCTATTATCTAAACGGTGGTAACAATGTAGACATTCAACAAAATATGTCTCTTCGTGCAAGTTTCCGTTAAGTGTAAATTTAAGTTACTTGATTGCATCAATATATATTTTTCTTCACAAATTTCTATTTCAGCTTTTGGGAATATTTAAAGAAATCAATGTGCTTTATTGTTTTAAATTTTTATTAAAATATTTTTGTGTCAGGGGACGGTACTACACAGTATAAAAGAAGAAAAAGGAAAAGACATGGCAAACCATTTCATGCAAGGGAACAAGCAGTTGTCTCCACTGCTGAAGGAATGGATGCTGCCAGCCCTATAAAAACAAACTGCAGAAACAAAGTGGATTCAAATAAGTCTGATTCTTGTAAGGATTCTAATCTTGATGATGATTTAAAAAGTACTACAGGAATTCCAAACACTCATAATCTTACAAAGAATCAAAAACGGAAATTGAAGAAAAAAAGAAGGAAAGAAAAAGTAAAGGGAAAGGAGCTGGATGTATTAAGCAAAGACTTCACTTATGACTCGGAAAGGCATCAAGTCAAATGTGAAGAATTACAAAGGTGAGAAGGAATTGATTTGTAGGTAATTAAAACATGATTTTTAAAATATAAATCTAGATAGATTTTATAGCATTGGCTGTTGCCAGAAATTGGTACAATACTCACGTATAATTACACCAAAGACTTTAAAACTGTTTATTATAAAAAGAGAAGGATAAAGTATAATGAGTATAATGGTAGAGTAAAGTGATGATTGAGAATGGTAATGCATTATAATTCTTTCTATCCAGAGAAAAGATGCTGGTTTGCCGAGAGAGTTTCAAAGAATTTCTGTCCAACTTATGGGAAGTGTATTCCTCTGAAGGTAAATCCTGTTAAACACCTATATTTATCAACCAATAATTTTAATGCTTTTTTAAGTTTGCTTCAAACATGGTATTTACTAGCTAATATTATTATTATTATTATTATTGTAGTAATAATTTTTTTTATTTGCAGTTCAAATACAGAGTGATAATACTACTTATTGCAAGTTTAAAGATCCAGTAACGAAATTTCTTCAGTCAATTGATGATGAGACATTATTATCAGACAGTGATGTGAGTTATCTTGACAGAATCAAGACTGTCCTCTTATTGAAAGATAGAGAAAGATTTGGAATGCTTATGAAGGATTGGAGAGAACATTCTAAGGTGGAAATAGGTACAGTCTACTAGAAGATACGATACGATGTTTAATTTTTTTTTTTACTATTTTCACTTTTATAACATAAAGAATGAATTTTAGAACATTGTTCTGGTGACCATTAGTGCCCTTAACCAATCGAAGTAGGTGGTCAACAGGCTCAAGGCTTAGACAGAAATAAAGCTATTAAGCTTCCAGCTACATCAGTTGTAATAATCCCACATAAAGCCCAGATATATAATAATATGTAGCAATACGAAACAAAAATATTTTTTGGCATTTCAGAATTTGTCCATGCTGTTTGTAAACTTTCGGAGTATTGGCTATCGTCAGTGGTGACTTCATGACAAATCTTGCACCTGGGGGGCAGTCAGCAAAAGAGGCTGTTGATGTTCATGAGAATATAGAACAGGTTTGCTCTAGATTAATGATTTTAACCCAGACAAAACATGGTGTTAGTCAGCATTTATTTTCAAAGTTTTATCACAAAATGGTATTTTCTCTCAAGTAGTTTGTTTTTCTGCTCTTTTAGTTAAAAACGATGCAAAGGAATTCTGGTGCTTATTTTAATTGTTTCACACCTGAACTAAAAGACACAACTAAAAACTGTATGGAATAAACCGTTTAAAATGCAGTGAGAGTTCTGTAAAATAAAAGTAACTTAAGAAGATCACAAATTGAACATTTTGTTTCTTTTACAGCATGCGAGAGTAATGGACCTAAACGTGGAAACATAGGGTCAGGATCTGTTGAAAAAAAAAGGGTGGATGCACCACCTAAGAAACTCAAGAACAGTTAATAACCTGGCATTGTATAGATTGAAAAAATTAAGTCATTATTTGTCTGTCAATACTGTTTATATTGTTAGACCATTCCTTGAATTATCCAAGAAATACTGCATGAGCCTTCAAGGCTGAAATTGTTTACAATTTTCTTGAACTTTTATTATTAGTCCAAGTATGAAATAATGAAATGTATTGACATTCAAGTTTGCCACAGTGTGCAACAAACCAATTTTGAAAGGATTTTAAAGTAAGGGACATAAAGTTTGAAAGAATTAAAAAAAGTGCAGACAACGCTTTTTGAAAATAAAACTGGATTCGTTAAAAATAAATGTTGCTGTTCATGTGTACACTGTTCAGTATACCCGGGGCATTTTGTTAGAACCACAGATTGACGAAATTGCATCGAAGCCTTGGAAAATAGTTTTTATGGAGTATTTTCTGTTGAATCACTCTTACTTAAGTATTACGGGTCAGAAATAATGTTTGAACATTCAATCATTGCAGTCTAAGGGTGCATTCCCAGAGGTTTAGATCGATCCATATATTTAGATTTAACCCTAACTCCCTGGGGGTTCACGCTAAATTGCGGTCAGCCGAGCACGCACCACAGTTAATTACCCCCTTAGAGCTTTTAGTAGGTGGGACAGACGCTTAAGCCGACAAAGCTGACAGTAATCTAGTGAGACTCCCCACAGGGATAGATCGATCTAAAATCTATGGGAATGGGGTCTTAGACATATTATGTTAATAGTGGTGATGCCGAAAAACCACAGTAAGTTTCGTTAACCATGTTCACTTGTTTGTTTGAAATATATTCAGGCTGTTATTCATGTTTTTTTATTGATATATTTTTGAGAATATTCACCCAACTTTTTAAAGACTGTCTTCAGCCTAACCTGCCTAGGTATATTCAAAGAATGTCTTTAACGATAAAATGGTGTCTTGTTCATCTGGAAGAGGTTGAAGGTAATGAACCACCCACAGCTTAGATAAAACCGAATCCCTCTCTCCTCGGAAGATGAAAAATAAATTGCTGAAGTAGAGCAGTTTTCACTTTTCCTATCCATTTTTATAAAGGCACAACACCCAATCACTTTCTGCCACATGAGATAAAAACTCAATTTGTGTGCAGTCAAATGTAGAACAAACATGCTCTAAATTGTGAGGCTTATGCTAATCATCATCGATCACCAAAACCAAGCAAGTAGATCTACTTCCTTGTTTAACTTTTTTGTTCATTTACAACAAATACAGGGTGTCTCAATATACATGGGACCCATTATTGTGATAATTGTTTATTACTGAGGCAAGAAAATGATACAAGATTACATGTCCTTGAAACTGATAGGCCCCTATAATAACAATTAAAAACATTGATATAATGTCTCTAGCTCAAATGCTGCAATTTTTACAGCACGTTTTCTAATAACCGAAATTTCGCTGACGACACGCTTGAAATCGATGAGCGAAGTTGTCAATCACCCTGACACACATTGAATAATTATCAATTCACAAATTACAGTAAATAAACTTTATTCTTATGTCACTGATAATGTGCGTCCAACATCCAGAAAATCAAGAATCATTGGGTATAATGACTACGTATAGGGGCCTACGTTTCACGAAGGGTGGAGAATAAAAAGCCGCATTCACGAGTCCCGGACTGGGGTGATACGCTAAATAAAATTTGTCACGCTAAATAAAATGAACATTTCGCGCTTCTCGGGAAATAGAAAGTGGCTTTCACAGGTAACGAAAATATCCACTGGGATTCTATGATGAAAATGATCGACATATTTTCTCAGCAGATATCGATGGCGTATCTGGGGTCGGTGGTGTAAGGTCTATGGCAAGAAAGGCATGCGCACGTGCCCTGGACGATACTTTACTTGAGAGGCTTCTGTAGTAAAGTCATCTGGAAAATTGGTGTCCAATGTTAGAAAGGAATGCAATTACAGTGGTTGCAGATCTACGTCTTATGCACTATTTTATGTAGATATTTCGTCGGAAGATAAAAATCCGAATGCTATAAACAACGTGGATTTCGAGATTCTGTGGTAATGCGTGGTTGTTCCTTAGCAAGAAGTTTCATGCGGAAGCACTCCTATTTACGATCTCTGATAGGGTATAGCCTTTTTACTGTAGGTCTACGTAAAATGCAGCACGGCAAGCACAAATGGCCTTCAGATCAGAGATAAATACATGTAGAAGTGCCACATGTAACGGAAAGTAGGCCTATATATAGTTTAATTATCTCTGCTGTTGACAACTGAAAAAAAATTTTAATTTAATATTAAAATATTTTTGTTGATCAGAGTTTTTCTTTGGCTTTTATGCCTATATACGTTGCCCTGTAGACAGTTGTAGACATGTAAATATCCGTAGGCTTACTGTTCACGTAGGCCTAAGAACCGAAGGGCGTGAGCCTATTTCAAGCGTTTTATCGTTGTTGTAATTCAGAATTGCTCAAGCTTTATTGTTGAAGATAAACAAAGCACGTTTGAAAATGTCAAAAAGCCATATTTTCATTGTCTTCATAGGGCTATCCGGCAAGACTAGGCCTACTTTTATACCTCTACATATGTTTAAATTCAGGCCTAAGAAAAAAATCCCTCAAATTGAGGTGGCAACATCAGGCCTACCCAACTACCAGACTCGGCACCTACGGATCCAGAATAAACCGGTATATCAGACCACACTACCCGTTTTCAAGGTGTGTGTCAGATCGCATTACAGAGTATCATACCCCATCACAAATTTTGTAAGCCTACCTGTCATCCGGGTATCGCGCCTCGTTTTAGTCAAGTAGGAGTCGTATGAATACAACAACATGGAAATCGGCAATCCTCGGCTCATTCCGCAAGCTCCATGCTATTGTCGAGTGCGGAGACATCGGAGTAGTTCCGGGTGACAACATTGCGACAGACAACTCACTGAATCTGGTCCAGAAAATATTTAACCCCCGACAGAATATGCTTCCGCTATCAAAATTAAGTCTATTTTTCTAAATGAATATATAAGTTTGCAAGTTCTTATTTACAAAACATCATTGGCTATGTTCGAACCTAAATTTTATGTTAAAAATTGCGGTATTGTCAGATTTTTAGCATAAACAGGGAAAATTGCAGCAGCGCATGAATCTAGATGAGATGCACTAGCTACTTTCCAACCCCGCTTTAGACCACGGTGGAAGTGAAGAACAAAAGATTCAGACGTGGTGTAACTTGCATAACCGCACGTCTCGCATGAATGCGTTATAACCAGCTAATGGACCCGTGGTCTAATTAGATAGATCCCTCGTCAGCGAGGGTTATGTGACATCCACTCGTGCTTCGCACTCGTGTATGCCACATAACCCTCGCTGACTCGGGGTCTATCTATTACTACGATCATTGCTATCACATCGCGCACCAGGCAAAATCGGTGTGGTGGCTGATACTCTGTAATGCGATCTGACACACACCTTGAAAACGGGTAGTGTGGTCTGATATACCGGTTTATTCTGGATCCGTAGGTGCCGAGTCTGGTAGTTGGTTAGGCCTGAACATTTCCTCAGAAATGTAGGCCTACACAAATAGGCCTACAAGGCTGTATTAGTGACTGACCAATTATATAGCACTAATTCATTTGATTAGGCCTAGAAATGTAAAACATCAATGATTCAAGAGCAGGAGAAAGTTGCTTAAATTTTTTTCGAGGAAAATTTGATTTCGGGTGTGATTTGAGAGGAAAATCATGGAAAGTCTAAGATTAATTCGACAGAAGATGATATTTAATTCTAACTTAATATCCCTAAACCAAAAAGTAAAAGGTAACGCATTTAGCCTACATATATATCCGTTTGGTTGTGATTGAAGCCCCTCGTTTGGCGTGCAGCCAAATTGAACATTTGCCAAAAAAGAATTGGCTCACTGCCAAATGGCACTCATCCAAAAACATCAATTAAAATCCAGGAGGCATGTTTTATTAAGCCTCATACTGCCGAAGGCTTCATCAGATGACGTTGCGTTGTGTTGTGGCTTTGTTTAAAAACCTTTTTTTCACCCAAATAACCATGTTTCGGATGGACTTTCTTTGCTGATTGGCTCAAGGCAAAGTGACGTCGCTGTATATGGGAAGTAGTCAAAGGATGATGGGAATGAAAATGGCTGACACATAGACGGCGGCTTTTACTCTTGGCGGGCGTTGGAGTTTGATAATATTGCCTTTTATACCGCTTGTCTTTAGATATGGCGGAAAATAGTGAAGTGGCATCAAACAAAGAAGGAATTGTGGAGAAATCTGCTGATGAAAATGAAAGTGATGCATCGGAGTTTGATATCAGCAAGTGCATAGCTTGTAAGAAAGTCTCAGTCGAAACCAAACTTCTCCCGTGTTTACATATATTATGTAGACCATGTCTTGATAAAAACGAAGTAGAAAGTAAGTATGGTTCACTTTAGGTTATTTTCGCTTCGTTTCATATAGTTTGCTTGATTGAAAAGTCTTCCTAAATGTGGAATTGAACTTGGGCAACTTACGTCATTAACATGATAGTCTACCTGAAATAGGGGCGAGGTATTTACTCTGCTAAATCGAAAAGTTAATGTTGAACCACGTTATTTGTAACAGTAAATCCAGATGCCTCAAAAGATTTTGCTAAGAAAAAAGTGCAATTTACATTTAAGCTTCATTTGGCAATTGCTCATAATGTCTTTCTATAGATAATCGCTTGCCGGCCACCACTCTGTGAAGTTCCTAACTCTGAAATATTTTTAAAGACTTTCTAACATTCTTGATTACTTTGATTAATATTTGAACAGAGGCATTAAAAGAAAATGATATTTAGTCTATATCCAAAAAGAAAAAGGCAAGTATTAGGAAAACTAGTGTCAGTGACCTGTGCATGTCCAGTGTTTTTATTATTATTACGTAGGGTACTGTAAGGGTATATGATCATCCAGCTATCGAACATGATATTTTTTCTGCATTTAATT